TACTATAATTTTCCACCAATCAATACTGATTTAAGAAAAAGCTTTCTCTTAAAATTTTATCTTAAAAAGAGAATGGAGAATTTTACTGTTCCAATGTAATTCCATAATATCTTCTCTGGGGAAAGACAGAAGTTCTTCATAACTTCATACTCTTATTAGTGTGTTTCTGAGTTAAAGGGCATCATTAGATTTATTTAATTTTAGAGGAAAAATATGAATAATATAAATACAGCATACATCTAAAGAAATGAGATGTATTTGCCTTGTATTCCTTCCTGCTTACAGTAATGATTTGTTACTCATTTCAGTCTCTTCCCCTTTTAAAATTACAAAATATTGTATCCTGTACATAAAAATGTTAATTAAAAAGACCAAGAAAGATTATCCTACGACATGTAATAATTTAGATAATCCATTGTTTCTTCAAGGTTCAGTACCATGTTAATGTATGCCAGCATAGCCTAGCAGCCACCCGTGACAAGTCAATTTCTTTTTTTATCAGAAGCTCACTGACAAACCAATCTTTGTTTTACAATAATGTCTGTCTAATGACACTGCTTATGAAAAGATGGGTAGGGAAGGCTTAGGATCAAAGAGTAAACCACAGATTTCACAATGTTTTCTTGGCAAAGCAAGGTGTTGATTTAGCTGCTGCATTGGAATCTGCAAACCTTCATTACGTGCGTTTTTCCTGGGATTACTTTGGCTAACATTTTCTTTCCTGTTGTCGTGTGACAAATCTTTGTCCAAGACCAATGATCTAAAGCTGCTTTAATCTGGCTGAGCATTTTAATAGAGCTGAGAGCTTTGTTTAGAGAAGCACACAACTCTTTTCCATAGGATTATTCCAGGTCCCATTTTAGACCTCAGAACAGGTGCTCAAAAGCCTGTTTACAAAGGAGAGGGTGACCAGGGAGTTGATCCGAGCTGGGACTTTGGGTGCTGCTCCAAAGCAGATGTATGGCACAGCAGCTCTTCCACATCCCTCCCCAGCAGTCTGTGCCCAAGGCAGCATTTTAGACAAGGCAGCAGCTTTCAGCTTAGGAGTTCTGGACTGCTGAATCCAGGCAGTGATTTCTGGGTAGTAGGAGGCTTTTTACTGTGCTGCTCTCCTGGGTGCAGGGAGCAGGAAGCATGGGATTTGAGGACAGAATTGTCAGTTGTCCTTCTGGCATCCATAATTCCTCCATCCTTGGAGAGCCAAGTCAGTCTGAAGAGAGATTGCTTGGCACCCCTGTGCCAGCAGCAGAGCAGCTGCTCAGTGTGCCTTAGAATGCAGGTGCTGAGCCATTCAGCAGCTCTGGATGCAAGCAGAGGAGGAAGAAATCACAGAACTCCTGGTGAACTACCTCTTCTGGATTAACTTTACTGATGAAGCTTTTTTGATGAAAAATGTGAAGGGGTAGACAAAAATATACCCAAAATGTGTGTATTTGCCCAAACACCACCCCAAAGGCACAGCAGCCCAGACCAGTGTGAAGACCTTGGCACATAGACTGGCTGCTCCTGCAACTGGAAAGTGTCCCCTGTCACTCTCAGGGGTAGCAAGGGTATTAGTCCAAGGTAACCAATTTCTAAACTTTCTATTCCTCAGCCTATTGCCAAAGGGGCACCAGAAGCAGGTGATGGCAGGGATCTGCAAGCCTGGAGGTCTCTGATAGCTTTGAAATATGAGATTCTCTATTTGGGGAGACTGCCGTGCATATGCCCATTCAAAATACTGTGTATTTGCAACCTATTTTCTTCACTGTCAAAGCTTTTCATGGTTACTTGGGTTGGAGAAATGATTAATTTAACTTGTGAAATGCCCAAAGGTCTTGGAGATGAAGAGGTGCAATGCTCCTGCCTATTAATTGGTCATGGCACTGGCAAATGGTTTGAAGAGAGAGCTATTTTATGGCTGAAGGGCAGAGCTGGAGCTGTGCTGTAGGGTGTTCTGTGTCAGCATGGCATAAAGGGAAGGCCTGTGGGGTAAGGATGTGTGAAAAAATACTGTTGTGAGAGAATATTTAATGCAAACAGTTGTGGGGCTGTGGCTGGGCTTGAGGTTACAGGGCTGAGTGAGAACACAGTGACAACACCACACGGGCTCAGGGAGCTGTTTTTGTACGTACCTGCTACTCTCTTGCTGGGTTAGTGGTTGCATGTGTCTGTCTGCCATTCCACAAGAGCAACTTCCCTCAAGTCATGACCCGTGGGACCAACAGGAATTGAAATATCTTTCATTTCTTTGTTTCTTACTTCTCCCCAAAGAGAGGAACCAGACAAACAATAGCACAACTGACTATCTCCTCAGCTAGGCATTGGTTTCATGGTGCCTCGATACTCTGATAAAAAATGAAATAGCTCAGTGTTTATGGCAGCAGTGATGCAATGTTCATTCTTCTCAGCTCTGCAATTTACACTCCCATAGTCATCTCCCAGGCTTGGAACCTGGAGATACTGGCTGGAAAAAATTAGACACATACTTTCTGCACAGGAGGACTGCTGGCATGAGCCTTGTTTTGAGGTGCTTACAGCAGTGGGTGGGTGGGAATCACTGAGATGAGTGGGAAGAGAGGGGATTTGCATGGGACAGGAGCATGGGCTGGCCTAGGACCAAGGTGGGATAGGGAATCCTAATTGCAGTGCTGAATATGTAAAAACAATGCTGATGTTTTACTGTGGCTTTTGTGCGTACTGGAAGTAACCCAGTGTAATTCCAGAGGCTCCCTGGCTGAGGAGTGAGCACTGAGCCTGCAGGCAGTGGGACAGCACCCAGCTGGGCATGGGGCATGCAGGGCTAAGCACGGAGCCTGGCTCTGGAGAATGCCCCATTCCTTCCCATCCTCCTGCCCTGCTGCAGCAGAGACACCCAGGGAAGCACTGCCAGCCTGAGCAAGGGGCTACCATGTACAGCATAAGTGTCCAAAGCACAAGTGTCTGCAGGATCTACAGAGCCAGCCAGGAGGCACTGAAAATGGCAAAAATAACTAGAGGAGGGGAGTATTTTTTTGCCAGGGCCGTTCTAATGCAAGCACCACTGCAGGAACCCATGTTGCAGATGACATTTCCTGGTGCAGGTGCCATTTCAAACAGGTGATGGGAAAAGGCTGAAAGGAACTGGTTCTGGAAAAATGCCTTCCAGCCTAAATGGGTGCACCTGCTGGTTATCCCAGCAGACCAGCTCAAGTCAATGTTACCCACAGGACTTTTGGCAGGACAGTGAAAAAATACAGTCATGGGAAGAATTTAAGAAAATTTAGTGTGTTCTCTGTATTTTTGTGAGATGTCTTTTATCATAGAATAAAAGAATTACGGAATCAGAGAATGGTTTGTGTTGGAAGCAACCTTAAAGATCAACTCATTCCAACCCCCCTGCACTGGGCCAGGATACCTTCCACTTCACCAGGCTTCTCAGGGCCCCCTGGAACATTGCCAGGGATGGGGCTGCCACAGCTTCTCTGGGAAATCCGTTCCAGCGCCTCAGCCACCTCACAGGAAAGAATTTCTTCTGTATATCTAACCTAAAATTCCTCTCCTTCAGTTTGAACCCATTACTCCTTGTCCTGTCACCACAGTTCCTGACCAAGAGTTCCTCTCTGCCTCCCCAGCAGCCCATTCAGGTACCAGAAGGTTGCCATGAGTTCTCTGCACAACCTTTTCTTCTCTGGGCTGAACAGCCCTGACTTTCTCAGCCTGTCTTCACAGGGAAGGTAGCCTAATCCCCTTATCAACTTTGTGGCCTCCTCTGGACTTCCTCCAACTGTTCCATACCCTTCTTATGCTGGGAGCACTATGGCTGTGTTCAGTACTCCAGGTGTGGTCTCACAAGAGCAGAATAGAGAGGAGAATTGTTCCTTTATCACATGAAGAGACTCTGCTGTACCTTCACCTTCATTTCATCCAGTCTTTTTTTAAAACACTATTTCCACACATCTCTTCCCTTTTACTTACAATACCTTAATGTTTTTTTTCTGGCATACTCAAAAAGTAGATTCTGCAATAGTTACTGAACTCACTCTTCTGCTTTTCCTCACAAATTCCTAGTAATGTCATCTTTCCTTTTGCTCAGCACTATCTGTAATCCTGCTGAATGGCTTCTGACATTACATTTTATGCATACTTGCATCAGGTTCTGCAGTGATGTCATTCAACACTTTTCTTTTAAGCTTTCTGACCACTAAAACTTTTCATACAAATGTCAGATCTGTTCTCTCTCCTTGTACTGATGGAATTTTTTCACCTCTCCTCCATTTTTTTGCACAGCTCTTTGTAACATTCTTTGTGTTGGTTGTTAGTTGTCAGTCTGTACTCATCTTTTGTAAATGCCTAAATCCTCTCTTTTATCCAGTGACACCCTCCCCATGTTGCATTCAGGGTTTTTAATGTTGTCCAAGTTACACGTAGCTCTTTTCTGTCTGATCAGTGATCAGGGTAAGGGATGTGGTGCTTAGACTGCCCTCTCCCTTCCTATTCTCCCTCAGCCTCCTCCTCTGGCTGCTGTGGCTCACCTTCACTCTTCCCTCATTCAGATCTGAGCCCTTCCCCAGACTGTTTTGCATATATGTTCAAGAGAAGTAATCATGGACTTTCTTTGAGTTTTTCTCTGTGTATGAGCCACTTGAACACTTTTGGGTTTTCCTCAATTTTAGAAAAATCTGGCAAGGAGCTACCCCAACTCCCCACAGCAGAGGGAACTTCCCAGGAGCATACTGGCACAAACTTCCCAGAACAGCCAATACCTTGACCTGGAGGAATGCACAGACCATTTAGGTGGCCCAGTGCATCAACGAAATGTGTCTGAAAAGTGCCCAGCAGTGGTATTCAAATCCAACACCACCAGAAAAACATTGGTGGATGCATGCCAAAACCTTCATGCAGGCTTCTAATTTTAGGTTTTAACCTTTCCAGTGCCCTGAAGAAGGCTTCAAAGTCTCCAAAATCACCGACCTGTTTGGAAAACATTGGCCTAAATGCTTTACAAGTACTTTACATTGTTAAAAAAGTATTAAGAAGGCTTTATAGAAATGAGTAATCTTTAATAATTGGTTTCAGCTTCTCAGGTGGCATACAACTGCTTATTTTGAGAGAAGTGCTAGGCGCAGCTTGACAAAGAACACCCAATGCTCCTGCTAGCAGAGGAATGAAGAGCAATAGGATGTAGTGGCAACTCAAGTATCCTTAATTTCAGACATCCTCAGTGACGTTGGCTTTCAGAACTGGAAGTGCCTGGATGTGACCACATGCATACATGAGCACATTATGAAATGATTGATTGCTCAATGGGTATTTTTAATTAGTATTTTGTTTTTAAATGCTCCATTTACCCTCTTCACTCAAGATATTTTTGCCACGTGCAGTTTTTATTGGAGTAAACATAGTCCCTTTAATATAGCTGCTTCAAGCCAGTGCAGAGGTATCTTGATCCTGTTTTGACTTTTTCCTTCCTCTGACTCATTCCTTTAATCCCAGTTATGGTTTCTCCGGTGAACTCTACATACTCATATTGACCCCAAGAGTAACAGACTCAAAGAACTGGGGCAGACAAGGGATATAAAGGATAAGAAATCTATTTTAAGCAAAACATTTTTCTTATGTCATATACTTTTAGATTTAATGTCTTTGTAACAAGCAAGACTCCAGGTTATGAATGTTTCCTATAATCAGTGGGTGAAACACGATATTGCAACAGACCTGTATTCCACAAAGTGAACTTGCTGCTGATTTTCTCTTTGCTGTTTATGTTGTTTGGGGTCCTTCTTGCTTTTCCAGGCAGAGGGTGAGAAATTGACTGAACGCTCTCGTTTCTAATGATGTCAAGCCGTTCTGAGTTTTAGCTCTGCAGGAGAATAGTTGAAGGTTTCAATTGTTTAAGATCTATGTGAAAACAATTTGCTTACCAAAATCAATTTACATTTTCAGTCTATTTTCAGAACTCAGCCTTTAAAATTTTAATTAATAATTCTAACTGCTTTGCAAAGCTGCGATTTACCTGACCCCGGGAGAAATCAGAGCTTGTTTAGCCTATGAAAATCTGAGCCTGGTTTGCTCCGGAGGGGGTCAGCCCCAGAGTCCTGAGCACACGCTGCTCCTCTTCAAGTTTCAGTGGCAGAGCACAGTCAGCCACTGCCAGGAGCACACGGCTGGGTGCACCTCCTGGGAATATCCTGGGGTCAGAAGACTGGGGAGGTTCACCAAAAGGTAAAGATATATTATACTTGGGGTTGATATCCAACATTTAGGAGAGAAAAGTAGGGGGGAGCTAATAGAAGAACTTGTATTTTTTCCTTTCCCTTGGCAGTAAGGGGCCAGAGGGGGAGGTCATCCTTCTAGGAAGGAGAACACAGCCAGTTAGCTGCCCACATCAGCTCCACGGCGTTGCATAAGGCCTCATTTAGTACCAGGTAATGATCTTAATTTAAGCATGCATGTCTCTGCCCTCGCCTCGCTGCTCTGCATTATGGGCTCGCAAGTTTGCTTATGCTAAAGGGCAGAACAAAAATAAATTTCCATACTCCCAGGCATGTTCCATCAGCCTGTGTTGGAGCATGGGCCAGTGTCCAAATACTTCGGATATGAAGTGAATTTGGGCTCCAGGACAGGCTCAGACCTGCTCCTGAAATTACAGGGTGATGACACCAGGGTCCTGCTTTTATATTTGCAGTTGACTGGCTGCCACCACTGGGACCCCCAGCTGTGACAGCAGAGCTCTCTTTTAAGCGTCCCGGCTTAAAATTGACCTTGGCTTTCTGTGGTCAGCAGGGACAGGGACACTCTGTTTTGTGTTACTGTTGAAGAGGAACTGGAAATTCTGAATTAATTGGGTGGAGCTGTAGCTCAGGTAGACAAAGATTCTATCTTGGTTAATTTTTTTCATGTAATGGTTTTTGTTTTGGTCACGTAGGCTGAACACCCACCCCACGAAAGGGTGTTATTCGCTTGCTGGAGGGCTTCGGTAGGGCTCCCTAGAGCCGGCACAAGAGACCGTCCCGCTGGAAGGTGCCCTCCCGACGCAGCCGCTTGCTGCGGTGCACCTGAACCTTTTGCCCGCTCACGGGGCGGGGTGGGTGGGATATACTTGTGGGGTACGTGGGGTGTGCTCCCCCTGCCCGGGCAAAGGGACGGCGATGGCAAAAGCTCGCAGCGCCGGCAGCTGCTGCCGCGGATCGCTGCTGCCGCCGAGGCTCTGCCGTGCCCGCCGTCCGTCCCGGGGCGCTGAGGGCCGCCGGCAGCGGGGCCGTCCCGGGCGGGGCGGCGGGACTACAGCTCCCAGGGCCGCGCGGAGCGGTGACATCATGTGCGGTGGCTCGGAGGTCACATGCCCCGCCAGCCCCTTTGTTTTGAGCGGCGCTGGCAGCGCGACCGGCGGCGGAGAGGCCCGAGCGCGCTGCACCGCTCCGCACCGCTCCGCTCCGCTCCGCGCCCACCCACTTGGCCCGACCGACCCCGGCCCGGCGGCGGCTCCGCGGGGCGCAGCGCGGCAGGGCGCGCTCCCGGCTGTGAGTGCGGGGCGGCGGGGCGCGCTCCCGGCTGGGAGGGCGAGGGGTGCGGTGCCCACGGCGGGCCGGGAACCCCCGGGGAAGGCGCGGATGCCACTGCGGGACAGCCGGGGCGCGAGGCCGGGACGCGGGGTAGGCCGGCACCGTTAAGTCGCTCGGAGGTGACAGCGCGTCCGGGGCAGTGCTGGCAGCGCCGCGGCGGCGGTGCCACGTTGGGGAAGGGCTGTGGGCACCTTGGAGCCCCGGGGGCCGCGGCGGTGCGTGTCCTGCGGTGTGCGGTGCTGTAGCTGTTGTTGTTGTTGTTGTTGTTATTGTTGTTATTGTTGTTATTGTTGTTGTTATTGCCGCTCCCGCCCCGCGGCCGGCGCTGCCGGCGGGCGCTGCGCCCCCGGCCCGGCGGGCAGAGCGGGGGGGGCGCGGAGCCCCCGCGGGACGGACCGGCGCGAGCCCCCCGAGCCCCCCGCGGGCGCGGATTGGGCGCGCGGGCGGGCGGGGGCGGGGCCGCGGGCGCGGATTGGCCGGGGCGCGGGGGGCCGCGGGCGCGGATTGGCCGGGGCGCGGGGGGGCCGCGGCCCGGCGGGGTGAAGGTGAGCTGGAGGGCGGGCCGGGAGGAGCCATTTTGTGCCGCCGCCTCCGGCCGCGCTTCCCTGCGCTCGGCTCCGGCGCTGTTCCCTGCGGCAGCAGCTGCCGCGGGCCCTGCCCGGCCCTGCCGTGCCGTGCCGGGCTGGGCGCGGCCCGGTCCGTTCTGCACGCGTCCCCGGCGCCTTCCCGGGCGGCCGGGCCGTGCTCCACCCCGGCGGGCGCTGCCCGGTGTTGGATGTGCTGGCATCTGGCTGAACCCCCGGGCCCTGGAACGCTGTGGCCAGGGCTCAGGCTCGGCTTTGGTTTAGCAAAATCTGCATCACGTGCAAGAACGACAGCGAAGCCAAAGGGGAAGGACTGGAACTTTTTCACTCTTTCTTCCCCATGCGTGAATAATATTACGCAGTGTGCTTTTCCCCCCTCATTTTTTCATTATTTAAGTTGTTTTTTTTCCCTCTAAGGGACCTTTTCGTTTACAAAAAGGTACATAAAGGGTTCTGCAGTTTCAAGGTGTCCCTTTTCAATGCTTTTTTTTGTTTTGTTTTACTTAATAATCGTGACTCTCATGTCCAAATCAGTTCCTGTTTTTTGCTGGGTGACTTTTGAGGGCACTTAAGGGTTTTTTGTGTGTGTGTCACTAGCTTGAATTACTGTTGACTTTTGACATTCTTTCTTTTTTAGAAACCAGGCTAGTGTCCTACATTAGAATGAAAAACTTCTGCAGTTCAGCTAACTCTTAACCGCGTCAATCAGTTCGATCACGGTCAGTTCTTGTTTACTAGTTAATCAGTGTTCTTAAAAACTTCATCTTAGACATTCCAATCTTCAATAACCGTTTTGTTAAAAAAAAAAATCTTTAAAACCAACAGCATTTTTGGTGTTTTTCACATCCCAAAGAAAGATGAAGGAAAGCGAAGTGTTGCGTTTGTTTGGGAAGGTTGTGCTGTTTTTCCCCACGCCCTTTGCTGTCCGAGCGGGAGGAGCAGGTGCGGGGGTTGTTCTCTGCCCCTCAGTGCCGCACCTGCGGCGCCGCCGCCGCCTTATCTCCCATCGCACAGCGCAGCCCCGGCTGCCGTTCCCAGGCCCGGCTGCCGTTCCCAGGCCTCGCCATGAGCTCGCCGTTCCCGAGCTGGTGTCGGCTCTGGGGGTGCCGGGGCAGTCTGCGGGGTGCTGCTGCTCAGACACGGCCGGTGCCAGCGCACGGAGCTGCCGGGCCTGCGCTCCCCGCCGGCGCCTCCCCTTCTCCCCTCACGGCGCTGCCCGCGGCGGGCAGGGCTGGACTCGCCTCCCCCCTGGCACTGCAGCAGCCCAGCACAGCCGCAGGTACGGGACAGCGCACCCCGAGGGCAGCTGAGGTGCTCGGGCACTCCTGGGGACGGGGTGTCGCTGCAGGGGCTGGCCCGAGCTCGGGGACACACGGGGGACAGGAACCCGGCTGCTGGCGCTGCTGTGGGTGACACACCGCGGGTTGCAGCGGAGGAAGGAGGAGTTCAGTGCAACATAACAGTATTTTGTGTAAGAGGCTTTACTGATAGAAGGTGTCAGGGAAAACCTTTATAGACTTCTAGCGGCCTCTGAATCTGGCTTCTAGGGTATTTCTGTGTGACAAGGTTATGGATGGTGTAGGTGAAGGAAATAGAGGAACCTGAACTCGTGGTGAACCCAGCTTAACTCAGAAATACGTGTGTGAGGTAACATCCGTCTCAGAGCCATGTCTGTGTTTGGAAAACATTTATAAAACCTGTTGATTGTAAGTGTGATTTGGTTTTCTTTTCTAGTTTTTCAAATGGACAGACTGAATGCTTAAGATCTGTCCTTGTTGACCCAATTCAGTGGCTTTTGTATTTTTTTTTTAATCAAATAATTCCCAGTCCTTGTCTTTGGAGGGGAAAAATTGTATTTTTCTTTAGCTTTGTTTAAACTTATTGAAGAGATCTGAGTGTTAATTCTCTGAATGATTGGTGTTTTGCAGTGCAGGGTCTTTAGGCAGGTAAGGCATGCAGGAAAGGTACAGATAGGTCTGTCCTGCTATATTTCCCCCTTTTGCACAATATCCAGCTCAACCTCAGGCACAGGTTCCCCTCTGTATTTCCCACTTTGGCAGCTGGAAGGTGACATTTTAAAACTGCTGGAGCAAGATTTGCAGGAAGGCAACACGTAAATGTGATAGAGCTGAACATGTGACACTGTTACTGATAGGCTTGTGAAATTGTTTTGCTGGAGCAAACCTGCAGAAGTAATTAACTGGACAGAAAGTACATTTAAAAACAGTACGTTCTGCAATGAAGAGGAGTTCTTTCTCCTTTTTAGAATCCTATTTGTGATTTTACAGTATTTATTCCCTTGAGTAGATTTTACTCAGTGGATTTTTTTTTTATTCTCCCATTTCTTTAAACTATTAGGACAGTAAAAAAAATCATTTGCTGACCACTAATTTTGTGATATTCCAAGCATAAAGAAGACATTGCTTCCTTCAGTGAGCAGTTGTAGCCCAGAGCCCTTGTTTCTGGTTATTAATGATTGCATAATACAGTGCTGTCTTAACTTCGCACATAATGAAAAAGATATCATCTTGAAGAAGTTTTACTTAATTGCTGTGTTTTGCCCTTTCATGCAACATCAGGGTCTTGATTTTAATTTCAGGCTAACTTTCTTTGGAAGAGGTCTATTAGCTTTTGTGAAATTCACCTGATTTAAATCTGTGATGCTGGAATTCAGCCTTTCGTGTCTATATTTATATTTGCATTGTTATTTTTCCCTTTGCTGCTGCTGCTGCTTTGTTTCTGCCCACTTCCTCATGCGAGTAGTACCTAGCTAGCTGCAGTTGGAATTCAGTGCAGGGGCAGGATTTTGGCAGCAGAGCCGCTGAGGTGCTGGGGGTGGTTGCTGGTGTTGTTTTGTATCGGGGCTGTGTCATTCCAGGGTGAAGTGATTGTGCAATAGGGGGATAGAATGTCAGCTACAGATCAGATTGTTTGTGCCTGTTAGTTCTCTGAAGCAATCAGTTGTTAGATAGGCTCATTGCAACAGCGTTTTTCAGGCATCAATGTGACAACTGGTCCTAATTTAAGTCCAATTAAAATTAAGTATTTTGTAGGGTAAATGAGCCCCAGACCAAGAATCTACCTTGTAAATTTGTGTAAAAAATTTTATTGGGGACGTGATATAGTTTTAGAACCTCTTTTCTCAATGAGTGAAGGGACAGCCTGCATTCTTTCCTTGCTGTTTGTTCAGATGGTGCCTTTTAAAGGTGCTGTGTAAAAAGGCTGTTTAAAAAAAGCACATTCATTGTGTTCTATATTAAGTGGTGACGTGGCCAGTCTGGGACTGGGTAATTGCAGCTCTGAGGATGGGAGCTCATCAGGAAATGAAGTTGCCGAGAGGAGTTGGTGTTTCCTGACTGTGGATTCAGGGAAACCGAATAAAACCTTGGGAGGCATGAAAAAAGTTTCCCTAAAGTTGAAAATAACTCACTTTGTGTCCTTGTAGCCATACAAATAAATATTACAAGCAATTGGAATTGTGCCAATGCCAGGCCTGAGAGAGTGCTTTGCCAACCTCTTGCTGCCTCAGTATGTCTTGGTGTACATTCATCCAGGTCATTTTAAAGCTCAGGAGAAGCAAAAAACCCTGTTGTGGTAGGTTGGTTCCTCTAGCATGTGCTATTTGCAAGGTCAGCTGCATTTTCTTCACCTACACACTTTAATATTGGCACACACGAACGTTTGAGTATTTGATTTTTGCAGCTTCAGTGCTCTGATAATGTGAGTGTGTGTTTGCATGCTGGGAGGAACCTTTACACTTGTACTTGAAACTGGAAGGTGTTCAAGCAAAAACTTCTGCTTACAATTTTTTGCCAGTAGTGCTTTGGAAACAGAAAATCCCCTGTCTTCAGCAAGTTGCCCTTTGTTCATATTTCCAGTAGTTTTACACAAAAAAATGTAGTTCATCTTTCATTCTGATCTGTGTGTGCTAGCAGTTTACATTAATTTTTAATTGAATCATAGATTATCAGTGAACTAATTTTTAGATGTTAGGAATGAACAGGTAAAAACTTACTGTCAAGGTTAGTTGTTGAGATCACAGATTGTTATTTAACTCTAGCGTTATAAGACTTCATTATGATAGACTTTATAATGAAAATGGAGTGGTTACTCAATTAAATTTTTGCTTTTAAAATTTCAGTCTTCTCCCCCTCCCTTTTTGACAAGTGCTGTTATATTAGTATTTTGGAGGCTCCAGCTGAAATGAGGACCACACTGAAAAAAGGGAAAAGTTGAAGCTCTTGATCATTATTCAGGAGAAATTTGGCTTCTGTCAGCCAGGTGATTTGCTGGAGCTCAGATCTTGAGATTTTTTACCTTGCACACTAATGCAGTACCTTCGATTCTGGGACATTCAGAAATTGCCCAGAATGTCCCAGACAGCTGTTTTCTGGGTACATTTTGCATTTAACGCTTGGCAGTGGTGCACTGCCCTGGGCAAGGTGCACACTAATTTGCCCTGTGCCACCTCCAAGAAAGGTCAACAGTTTCACCAATTCTTAGAGTGAGCAAACAAGTATCTTGTCTAATTCCTGTGATGCAGCTAAGAGTGTGTCAGACTGAATACCAAGGTGTTTTAATTTTTCAGACCGTTGCACTGAGAAGGAGAACCTCTGCAAGTTTTTCTCAATGACTCTATAGCCAACTGATGTAACAATGGTACTAATATTGGGACGCAGACTGAATAGAGAGGATAGCGGGATACGAGATTCCCCTGCAACCAAGCGGAAAGTTTTTGAAATGGACCCAAAATCGTTGTCAGGCCCTGAGTTTTTCGACTTCTCCTCGGGATCATCCCACGCAGAAAGCATTCTCCAGATCTTCAA